ATTCAGCAATTACTAAAACAGACACGCTCCGAGGCGCTTACAGTCCACCCATGTGGCTTGTGGATACCTAACGCCCTTTGTCCCTTAGGTGCCTCTCGTAATGTAAGATTACATTAGTATAAGCACGATGGTTCTTAATGTGCTCCAACAATTACACTCTATTACCAGATGTCATACTTATGCCCTCTACTGGATTCAATTAGCATTCATTCTTACTCTATTAAACACTTGAAAAATTGTAATACTTTTTCGGAAAAATAATTTAATTACATTGCCGCGCTGCTTGAATGGTTTTGTGAATGTTCTTGATGCTAAACCTAATAACATTTATCTTGCAAATTGCATGTAAAAAACCTAGAGTTAATTAAAGTTTTAATTAAAATTACACTAGATGAAATAAATAATTAGAATTTTTAAATATGATGGTAAAACTATGTATAAAATTAAACAAAAATAAAACTCTTATTTACATAAAACTTTTATTCGCTAGATTTTGAAAATAAACTTTCAAAGCTTAGAGAACTTAAGAATTGTGACATCGAGCATATAACCATAATAAATAATTGTCTTTTTAGATACAATTTTAATAATCATTATTGTTAATGAATGCTTTTAAAAATTAAAAATGCTATTCATAAAAAACTAAAAATCACAATAATAAATTAGTTTCCTCAACAATTCCAGGCCGCCCAAATATTTGTTGCACAAAATATTTCAAGATTTTCCTATCACTATCGATAAAAATGTATTCAAAAATTAAGAATTTTACTTCTAAAAAACTAAAAACCACAAGAACAATTTAGATTACTCAATAATTTAACTCAATCAGATAATATTAAAATAAGAGTCGACACATCAGACGTCGTCTATAGGCGACACTCGTACACACAAGTCGCCAAGGGTAAAGAGTTGATTAAAAATAATCGAACTGTATTGAAAATTATATAATTTCAAATCAAAAATGTACTAGGCGGAAAACATTTGCAACAGACAGCACAACTTTTAAAACAGAAATTATATTGTGAAAATATAAAAATTGAAAAAAATATATATAAAAATTAGAAATTAAAATAAAATTATAAAAATATATAAATAAGGGAGATTAATAAGAGTGAATAAAATATAGCCAAATACATAATCTCATTAGTTGAATCCTCCCAAAACAATCTTTTCATTTAAAGTTTTTTAAATAATTTATTAATAAATATACTCATTCTGGTTGTTATATATATACAAATTTGTGAAAATATGAAGAATATTTTGTCGGTTAGCATTGACTTGTGGTTATTTCCACACATGGCCTTCGTTGGTGGCCCAATTATTTCTTGGCACAAACATGCCATAAATCTTATCACCCTGAATAATATTTTGTAAATACAAATTCTCTGAACCTGATCATATTATTTATTACTATGCACTTGTACAAAAATTTAAAGTTCAAATTTATATTTATTTTTCATATATAAATTTTGGAGACAGAATTTTAAGCTAAATTTACTTTTACATTAATTATTCACTGTATGCTATACTGGATACGGCTGTGCCACTTTTTTTTGATCAGCCATAATATTTTTAATCTACCAGTTAGCTGGGAAAAAAATAAGTAGTAATTTAAACATTTATATAATTGAAAATACAAAAATACTATCTTTAATCACAATGGAGTGGTCATAAGATCAAATAATAGAAGAAAAGGGCTAGTATCACAATCTGTCACATCCCCAGGACGGTTGTGATAGACATAAAATCAGGGTAGAAATCCACAGTTGTAAACACCAAAATAATATAAAGAAAAATTATAGACTAAAACATCGAACAAAATCATTTTTTGACTCTTTAAGCGCTGACTCAATGCAATAATGGAAACTTGTTCGAACAAACATACTTTATCTTTCTCGCTTTGCATCCTATTTCAAATCAAATCCGTTTTTCTGTTATAAAGACTTTCTCTACTGTACCTTGGCACAACCGTACCAAGTCTCCCCTACTTCCCACGTAAAGTTGTCATTGCAACAATTTTATCCCATGCCTCTGGAAATTTTACGTGAACAATTTCATACATTGGATTAATAAAATGCTCGATGAAAATACCGAAGCAAAAATACACGGAAAACGCACAGAACGCAGGTACTCGTACATCGCGAAAACTATCTGCATAGCGTTATGCAATGTAGAAACCTTTTACTCGGGGCTCTTTTTCCCGGACGTTAATCTTGCATATATTAGCGCGGCACAAAGAAGATTTACCACTTGTTTTATGAGAACGACCGTCTACTAACCCTGCAATATCTTACTTCCAATTTAAAAGCTCACGCTTTAAAACCCACAGATGAAAAATTATAACGCTAAGATTATTATAATTAGTAAAACAAATTTATTCGCGTAATAAGCGCAGTATTCTAGAGCGGTAAACTGAAACATTATCGTCTTTATGTTCATTATTCGTTTGAACATTTTTGCGAACGAATAATAATTTATTGTGAGATAAATATTTCTATTTGTTTATTTTTGTTTGTTTTAGTTTGTTTGGACTTGTATGAGGAATTGTATTAAGCTTTTTAACCTTTCGTTTATTAGAATGCAACCCTCAATCGTTTATTTTCTATTCTGATTAATTTCTTAAATATATTTTTATCTAATACGTAGAGATATATAAAGCCAAATCGCAATTTTCACTTAATATCATAGCTTAGATCTAGAAACTCGAATTAAAATTTGATAACTTTAATGCTTAATAATACTGTTAGCCCCAAGGGGTATTGAACCCAAAACCAGTGGTAGTCAGTTTACGTTCCTGAGCCGGTCCACATGAGCACAAAATTTTTTAACAACAATATTTGAAAGTAGAGGGTTAATGATGTATAACCAGCAACCACCATAAATTTTACGACATCGCTATCAGGAGATAAACAACTGCGCTTGAAAATCTCTAACAAAAGTGTTTCCTTTCGTTGTTAGTATTTTGGTTGACTGCGAGACAGTTTTTAGGTTTACGTTATAATAGTTTGTTTTATAAGATATACTGGTAATTTTAAGTTAGATTTAAAAAATGTTTAGAAATAACCTCTACAATAATTCACATGTGGATGGAATCCAACTGAAACTTTCCTTCAAACTTTACCCTGACAAAGATGTAAACAATAAAAAAATACATTAAAAAGTTAACTAAGTTGAAGAAATCATTTCTACATGAGATAAATTAATAGTTATTGCAACTCTGTGTATTTATTTTAAATAAACTATAATAAATGTTTCTGACAAAAAACAGATCAGTTATATAGGGTGTAAAATTTGTAAAAATGTATCCTTACAATATTTATTTCGCATTTCGTAAAATTCCTACAAAATTGAAAATAAAATATGTATCTGTTTGCCCAATGCCTGTCACTTTTTACTTACACTAGGTGTAAAAAGAAAGATGACAAATTTTGGAAAAACAGCTAAAAAACATTCCTATAATTAGAAGTTGAATGGAAATTTTACTGAACATAGTTTGATAAATTTTTGTTTGACACGTGTTATTTGTTATGATATAGTTCATCCAGCTTAAACAGTATGGTTACTAAAAGTCAAATTGGAACTTTATGCTTGCATATTTCTAAATACGCTTTATACAATTACAAAGGAGTAATTGTATATATAATAATATTTAGGTATTCATATAAAATTATGGATATTTTTGAGATTGAAAATTTGAGCTCTTTTTAGCATAAAATTAACTTAAGAACGACTTTATTACGTTACGTTCTGGACCCTAAAAAAAGCAAGAAATATTATTACTATAATTTTTTTTATAAGATATTAGTTAATGTTTTGAGAACTTTGAGAGAAAAAAATTAGTCAAAGTTTTATTTTTAAATGGTGATGAAGTGGCGATTCTGAAGAAAATTGGCACCTGAGACCATACCCATAATTTCAGCCTTGCTGATAATCCGATGAAAAACATATTTATATATGATTAATGTAGAATGATATCTAGAATGAACTAAGGACGAGTTAAACAATGGTTTTTAACAAATTAGCCACTGCCTGAAAAAAAAAATTACAACTTATTTCAATATTCTCGAGTTTTTTACAAATAGTTAGAATCGAATGATTTAAGCTCACACTGAAGAAAATTCTATATAGAAAACGTAAAAATTTCAGATGAATCAGTTTCGAGAAAAATGCATTTGAAGTTTTGCGGATGAAGGAAACAATCGGATTATCGTGATCAAACAGCTGTATCTTCAAAGATAATTTGAATTTTGAAAAATCCTCTTGAAAACGTATTCTTGAACAGTTAAAATTTGAAAATATCCGGAAAAAACATGATCATTTTTCAAAATTCTAGACCAAAATAGTCTAGTTGCTATTTGTTGAATTTTGCATGTTTGAATCAGCAAATTTTGAAGGCCGATATTGTTACTATAAAGGCAAACTCTCGTTAATTATAATATATGTACGGCCCAAAACCTATTTAAATGTATTATAATTTATTATAGCAAATCTTCTAGACTGTCTTCGTTGGTACATAGATATATATATAGAATGCAATTGAAAACTTCATTTCTGATATTGAAACATATTTATTATTTAATCTACCTAAAAATGTTCTTTGCAGTTTTGTGCACGACAAGTTAAAGATGATTTTATTCCAAACATAAACATCGACTTTCAAAGGTGCATAAAAACATAATGCGGTGCGCATATATTGTTATGAAGACATGTTCTCAAAATTATCAAAAACTAATGATCCTTGCAATATTTCACTTCAATGATAATCAAGGATTACAATATTTGTACTAAATGCTATATTTCGTTATTGCAAGAAGCATTATGAATCAACTACCTAAAAGCCATATTGAACGTAGGAAATATAGTCTAATAGACAAAAAATAAAAAAAAAACAAAGATAGTAAAAACTAGATTAGTTTTTATTGAATACAAAAAATGCAAATATATAACTAAATTCAGAAGCAAATTCAGTTTACTATTTTGTAATAATATTTTTGGTGTCTAGATAAAGTGTGCGGATGAAAACTTCATCATTTTATGATCCACAAGTCGACATCAATTTTGAATACAATGCATCACATAAACTGAACACAAGATGAAGTAATGAAAACTGTCGCACCCATCCATACACGAATACCATTATTACTGTACTGAAATAAAGTTGTAAGTTTTACATAGTACGAATTATTATTCAGAATTTTGAAACAAAATATTTTTATATTTATATATATATATATATATATATATATATATATATATATATATATATATATATATATATATTATATACATACATACATATGTAAGAAAGACCGCAATTCTATATAATATATTATAATTAAATTTGAGCAAATAATGCAACTTCAGAGTCACCAGAGTAGAAACAGCCCAACAGAGTCTCTCATATCATTGTATTATTATCAATTTAATTTTTTACAAATGTATTGTACATTCAATCATAAACTTGTTCTATAAATTGTACATTCAATCATAAACTTGTTCCATAAATTGTACTATTTTGTGTTACGATTAATCGTGACTATTTCACCGCGATTATAGCCTGCACAGATTCGCAAATTACTGATCAACAATTATACATCAGTAATATTGAGTGGTTTGTTGGTAATATATTTATTATAATCCATATACAATATTAAGATATGTACATGCATATAAATGTTTATATAAATTAACAAAATTTGATAACCATTCTATACAGAAAATGTCTGCAAACAGGAGGAATACATAAAAAATGAATCCTCATACAAACAGAATTTAATATTACAGCTATAAGGGTGCAAGACACGTAATGATTACAACACTTTGTCTAATGGAAATGAAATAGAAGTAAAAAAAATTGTATCAATTTTGTCATTGCAGTGAAACGTCATCAAAAATTGATCACAAAGTTCCATAAATCGAAAGCTGAGTGTTCCTCGCGGAGTAAACTGGATATAAGCCAAGCCGGTCACGGTTGCACTTTATATGAATATTGGATAAGCCTGCGGATCAATAGCCAACACAGATTTAAGTAGGCCATCACATGTGTCTATGTGTGCGAACTAAAACGCGTATCAGAATGCGATAGAAAGATAAGTTTTCACGATATACGAGGACCCGATATTCGTATTTGGGACCCCGAGGTGCTGGACCTTAGTTGCCAAGTGATTGCGCATTAAAGATTGATATTTTAATTTTTTTTTATTTTTAACTCTTTTATTTACAACTGTCCAGTAAAGATATTCAGTAAATTTGATGAATTTATAGTTATATAGTTATTATAGTTTGATATTTTAATGAGCGTCAAAAATGGATGAATTAGTCCGAAGCGCAACAAGGGATTGTGCCATTTTAAAAATATTCAATTGAGATTATTTACTTACTTACAATTAAAAATAATATTATTTTTCGAAAGGCATCCCCCTATCCCAATAAATAAGTTCAAAACGTTTTGGTAGTTAACTTTGCAAAAAACTTTCCAAAAACAACAACTCAACTGCTTCGTAGGACAATTTGATTTTTTTATAATTTTGTTTTTAATTTTTATATAAAAAACTCATCTTCATTTTTATTAACTTCCCCTAGGGTAGTTATAATAATGGGCCGAAAACCAAAAATAATTTTTTTTGCATTTCTCGACGTTTTCAAGGATTCTGAACATTTTGGCATAACTCAGAAAAAATGTTCATATGTGTGTGTTTTGTGTGTCCGCATTCTTTCGTTCACGTTTTCGGGCGCAAAGATCAACCGATTTGAATGATTCTATTCCTATTGATAGGGAGATGTGCTAATTAGTTTTTGGCAAAGGCAGGTCCAGCAGTTACGGAGATAAAGAGCAAAGAAAATAGAAATCCAGTGTTTGAGAGGACGGAGCATTCAATTTGAATGATCTAAAAAACATTCAATTTTTAATGATTGGGAGAAGTGTTTATTAGTTTTTGGTAAAGGCAGGCCCAGTCATTTCGAAGTTACAGAGTTAAATGTGCGAAAAATGGCAGTTTTTGAGAAAACTATGCCGTCCGATTTAAATGATTTAAGAATGATGAATGCGTGATGATTTCTGCTTGTTTTAACAGAAAAAAATGATTTTGGAGAAACAAAATTTTTGTTTCAAAATTTTTGTAAATTTTTTTTTCAAAACAAATTTTCTTTGTATATCGCAAATAATTCAGATTTTATTTTTAATTCTGAATAAAGTTCTAATATACTTTAAACAAATAATTTCAACTTTACAATTAAATTTCTATAATTCTTATAAATATTAGACAATGTTACAATATTTATAATAATCTATTTGAAAACATTCAATATTCCTCGAACATTTCGTTACGGTACGGGAAGTTCCAGCAATTTGCCTTAAGGCACGATGCCATACACCCCACTAGTTTTATTGCATTATTTATATAAAGTACTGGTAAAATCTATTTAATATAATATTTTTTATTGCATTTGCTAAATTTCCACCAAGAACTGATGTAAAGTTGTTAACACCCATTTTTCATCATTATTTATTATTCTGGCATTACGTTTTTTCATATATTTATTCTAACAGTAGCATAACTACTCTATTTGGATTCATGAACTGTTGTGATGAATTTTCTCACAGCCAAGCAAAATTGTCCCAGGTGTTGTCCTTTCTCGCGATCGGATTATTATTTGATATTTTTAATAGTGATGTCATACATGTCGCAGAAATGAACCAAAAGATTTTTACGTAAAATCGTATTTGAAATCTATTTAGATGAAGCCTGACATCAGGTTTTTTGAGGTCTGGTTTAAACCTGGTAATTGTAAGAGCAAAATTCTTAAAGCTGAACATTGGCGAGTCCATTCCAGCATTACACGATTGTAAACTTTTGTAATATTTATATATATTTAAATCATGATTTATACTGTGCCTATTCTGTAGTTATATATAAATTGTTCATTAAAATGTATAGACATTATTACATAAACAATTATTTACTACTAATGAGTGCAACAAACTAATAAATCATTAATTCATTAATTATTTGTATATCCAAACGACCGACAATAAATTGAACTTAATAACTTCAGGTACAAGAAAACGAATTCAAAATTACCTTTATTTGGTACCACAACTACACAACTTTCATGCACTTGAGGCAGCTTGTGTCAAGCTCGTTAATTCTATTAAAAGTACATTTCCCAGTTACCACGTGAGATACCTTTCCTGAGAAAAAGTGGTGAGGTAATGTTTTTAACGTTATGTTCACACCCACTAATTTAGTAGATTAAAAGTAATGTATAAATGCTACGACTTCAAATCTTAACTTACTTAGCCAAGTAAATTTGAATAAAACTAGCAGTTGACATCAAATTTCAATTTAGCTCTTTTAATTCTATTAGTGAACTATGAATTTCATTTACATAATGTCTAAGCGATATTTATTAAATTGTTTTTTTTTTAACAATTAAAGAAGATTATTTTATATTTGTGATATAATGTGCAGAATGTGTCGCATTAATAATAATAAATAACTGTTTTTTTCATGTTATTCTCGATTTATACCAAAATTTAATTAAGATATAATTTAGTATATTAATAAAAAGTGAACCACTGGGTTTTCCTTTTAAAATTCTATGTTATTTGCCAAAATAGTTACTCAATGTTTTTCTATTCAGACAGATTGTATTTTATAAAAAAATAAAAAAATAATAAAAAATGTTATTGTCGATTGCATTACATAATTGTAATACAATTTTCATTGTAATAGTCTTGATATCGTACGAACTTCATATTCTACTGTAATTAATTTAATTATGATAATTTGTTTGATGTAATAATGAGTCTGATCACATTATCAAAGTATATTAAATATATTGAATATATTTAAAAAAAAATTACAAAATGTAAAACATTATGTTGTAAAGTTCATTGTATTAAAATGTGTTAGTATTCATATTCACAACGTTACTAAATCCTAATTACAAATAGTTTTAATATATTTAAAATAGTAATTTTTGGTTTTAGAATGAATTATGTTTGTATTATCGAGAGTAGAGTACCTTCAATATTATTTTATTTAAATAATGTTATTTGCCGAAAAATGTCTCAAATCCGCAGTCGATATAGCCATCATAAAATATTCAATGTGTATCGTGAAAATCAGTTATGCAGTCCACGTTCGTGTATAAGATGTGATTCTTTATGAAACAGTAAACTTAATATGGTGTATCGAAAAAGATAGTCGGAATACTCATTGCTTTGGGCATTGCTTTTTCCGGTAGCAAAAAACGATGATAGTGAGTCAATGTTTTATTTTGTTCAATATTCTGTTTTTACACCATCAGAAGAAGATATATTATTTCATGCAATTTACAAACAAACAAAAAAATAGTGGCGCATGGCATCGTGCCTTAAGGCAAATTGTTGAATCTTTCCGTACCTGGAATTTATTTTTTTAAAAAAGCTTTCAAAAATGTTGAACTTTTTTCAAAGCAATCGCGCTGCGTAGCTGTTTTACAGGCAAAATATCGAGCAAAAACACTATGAAATGTCCGATATTCTGATATGCATATCTATAATGATCATTTGTACGAAATGGCTTTTCTCGCTTTTTTTATTGGATCTCCGAAATCGCTGGATCTGCTTCCTCAAAAATTTAATCAGTTCTTTGTTTCGCAAATGCAAATAAAATGTTTTTCGAATCATTCAAATCGGACACTAGGTTATCTCAATAACTGAAATACCATTATTGACACATTTTTCCCCGTATCTTCAAAACGGCTGTACCTGCCTTTCCCAAAAACTAATCAGCACGTCTTCGCCGTCAATACGAATGTTTTTTGAAATATTAAAATCGTCGAACATTTTTATGCACAACCCACACAAAATAGCTTACCCTACGGGAAGTTAAAAAAAATGTACACTTTAATACAAAATTTAAGGTGGTGTATTTATGAATAAGTTTTTTTAAAATTAGTTTTTGTTTTTCAGCAGCAGTCAGAAATAGTTGTTAATAATGTGTGTTTGTTATACACTTCTTAACCTATTGTATACAAAAAGCAAGCTAGTAGTTAACCATTTTCTTGCTGTTGTAATTATATTAGATGTATTTTCACTTCATACGAGATCTTCAAGATTCAGTAAAAACTGACATCACTACTGCTTGATATCAAGCTGGCAAAGGTGAAACTCAAGCCAGAAACCGTTGAATCTAATCCACTTTCTAACCATAAAACCATTAAGCTGAGCTTTAAATATTTGTAACTTTACCAGTTAATTCTCCAAATCCTCTAACTTCCAAGTTCAAGTAGGGACAACGTTTGCTATGCTATACGTACATAAAAATAAGGAAAGTGCCGTCGAAAGATTTTTTGTTGAATGTATTCGGAAACAAAAAACACATATGACATAAAATACGAAATGTGTTTGCGGATGGTACTCGCTCCACTAAGCTCTAGCAAAATGTCTATTGCACATGAAGCACATGCGGGCATTAAAAATAAATGCCACGTTATGGAAGAGGAGTAAAATATTATATAGCATTGTGTAGCAAAAAATGGTAAATTATACGAATAAATAAAACGAACGAGTGCATGAGGGAAACATATGATCGATAAAAAATGATGGGAGTTCAGTTGAAAAATATCCTGGTCTCACCCTTCGCTACACATAATTTTCAGATAAAAATAAGATTTTATTTTCAAGATTATAGCAATCGATTATCCCACATGTGATTTGCATAGAAACTGGACATTTTGGTTTAGTTAAGTCTGAGTAACTATTCAATTTAAAAATTTGTAAAATTTATGAAAATTTATTAATGATGTGATTTGAGCTAATTGAAAAGTTAGGAATTTCCAAATATTTTTGTAAATTTTACTATAATATTGGTAAATGATAACAAATTACAAATTTTATTAGGTATTCCCTGGTAGTTATTTATAGAATCAATATTTTATCTATTGTTCGTACAGAATGAAAATTGGCAACAATGTCGTATATTCTAGAAATATAAACGACTCAGTAAAAGCCGTTTCTTGGGTTTTTCTAAAAGCAATATTTGTCCCGAATCTAGATTATTTGTCCCAAATTGTTCCAAGTTTTCGAAAAATACAGATTTAAATTGAATTTTTGCAACTACTTTATAATACGAAAAAATCCGAATGCAAAATTTCAAAGGCGTGTTTAAGAGCCTGTCTCGTTCGTAATTTCAAATAATAATTTTCAATTTCACAAAAATTAGCAAAAATGATAAAAATTTACTTTACTACTGTGCTTGGCACTAGTACTAAGTTTAACTAACATAAAGATACTTCGAAAAGATATAATTTATGGACCGATTCTGCCGTACAACAGACCAATGTTATGGGAAGGCTATCTTATGTAGAACTTTCCATACTAAATTGTTCTAAATACTGTCAAAAGCCATGTGGTTACTGTGCAGTCAGACGTACTTCTCTGGTTGCTAGATCGTAAACTTAACCTAGAAACCGCACGAATGTCAAAAAAAGATCTTAGATGACAGTCTTTCTGACCCAGCATCATAACATATAAGTGACATTGCAGTTTATGTGTAAAACACCTGAATGCGCAGCAGATACATGCCATTTTGACAATATTAAGTATAATTCAGGAGCATAATGGCCTTGCCATAACAATGATCTGTTGTGCGGCAGAATAAATGCATTAATAGTAATTCTATTTTTGAAAAAAAAAAATATTTAGGAAAAACAATTTTTATTTGTGTTTTTTATTAGTGTTTCAAATCATATTGAAATTATTCATCATGGCATATAAAACAGAAATACTTATTAGTTGGCGTTAGTTTTTTTATTTATTAAAAACTTCCTAAAAATTAAACAATGAATAGGTGAGTCCTGAACGAAAACGAAGCAAATCTTATACTTGAACTTTATCCGTTAAGTTTTAAATATCGTTAGCAACAATACTGCTACTACAAACTTTGCTAAACTCGCTTCAAATCTGCACTTCCATCCAAATTACACGTACTTGCAAGCAAATTGTGTTTATACTACGAGTGTAATCATAATAAAATAAACATATCTAAGTTTCTTCCCATGTTAGTCGATGATATTAGGACTATCTGCATTAATTCGGGAAATACGCAAGTATAAACACTAGCTAAGATAGGTAATCAAATTTCATGGTTACAAATTAATGTAAGAAACACTGTATCAGTATAATATAATAACCATAGTTATTTGATTCAGAGACTTGAGTTCTATAAAGCGTAGTGCATCACTGTAAAGATTGCTTATTAAGATATGTTTATTAATAATTATAAGATATTTTGTCAAGCGAAATAATAATCCATTTACGGGTATGGATGGGTACGGTTTTAACAAATTTTGCGGGTGCGATTGTGACATGTATTTCTTGTCCGTTCCGGGTGAAGATTAAACAAATAGAGAAATTTAACTTAACACTAAACTTAACAACTTTAACTAAGACAAATACGAAAGAAAAAAATAACTAGTGGGGTGTATGGCATCGTGCCTTAAGGCAAATTGCTGGAACTTCCCGTACCGTAACGAAATATTGAATGTTTTTAAATAGATTATTATAAATATTGTAACATTGACTAATATTTATAAGAATTATATAAACTGAATTGCAAAGTTGAAATTATTTGTTTAAAGTATATTAGAACTATAGTCATAATTAAAAATAAAATCTGAATTATTTTCAACATACAAAATTTTTTTTTTTTTTTTAAAGTTGAAACAATTTTTTTTTTCCAAAATCAATTATTTTGTTAAGACAAGCAGAAAGTTCTTTCAATCATTTAAATCGTATGCTTAGTTCTCTCAAAAACTTCCATTTAATGCACATTTAGCTCCGTATCTTCGACCTGCCTTTGCCAAAAACTAATTATCATCGAATTAACTCGGTTGATCCGTGCGCCCGAAAACGTGACTAAAAAATTTAATCCATACATACATACACACACACACATACACATTTTTTCTGAGGTATGCCAAAATGTTCAGAAACCTTCAAAACGTCGAGAAATGTAAATATTTTTAATTTCGATTTTCGGCCCTACGGGAAGTTAAAAAAACGCAATAACAAATTAGAAGTTTTGATCATTTACCTCAAAGTAATCTAAAGTCGACGCACTGGATGTCATCTATAGGCGACTCTCGTAGCGAAATGATTGCAATGTAACAATTCCAGGCGTGTCGACAACCTAGAAAAAAAGATAAAATTTAGAAATATTTATTGGAGTCAGAAACGCTTAAATTAATGTAACGATTGCAAGAATAGAAATCTATCGGCATTCAGCAAAAATCGATTGGAAATGATTTTTGAAAGTTAAGCATATAGAGTTGATATTTTATTATATATATATATATATATATATATATATATATATATATATATATACGTTTGGAAAGGAAAATAAATAAATAAATAGGTTATGGGATGAAGGGCAAGGAAATCATTTGTTGTGGTGGCTCTCACACCATGGACCTGCCTTCGGGCAGACTACCATTTATTATTATTATTATATATATATATATATATATATATATATATATATATACGAAGTATTATACAAAGATCAGCAATAAAAATAACTTTGTCAATATCAATATAATCTGCTTTGTTTAATTTTTGCTATCAATATATATCATGCCTCAAAAAAATCTCTTTGATACCCGATAGTGGCGTATATATCATTATCTTTCGACGTACATCGGAACAAAATATCTGCATCGTACGTTTTTTCGAAGAGGTGGAAAAAAATAAAAATGCCATGTGGCGCAGCTCGCTATCCATCAATCGACACGTTTTCAATTAACTTTCGTTCTGCATCCAACTGCAAGCTGGAGGTTCGTATTTCGTAACGAAAGAATGAACGATATATGACGAAAAGAATGAAACGAGAAAATAACAGATCGAGGCAACGATATTTCACAGAAATTTACAGAAATTGAACATTTTGTAAATTACATCTCTTTGCAATTTAGGACGTTACACGAATAAAATATGAGCAATATAATATATAACACGCTTAATACGTATGTAATTTTACGTAACTAAGTAGAACTCTGCATTTTTATCTTAATATGTGAATCATGATGTTAGGAAGATTGAAAGAAAATTTAACGTTTGTACAGTTATTAAATTTAGCATTTATTTTTTTATTTATTTATTTAGCAAACATTTTTTTACAAAATTATAAATATAATTGCGGATTCTGGTTGTCTATAATAATAATACACTTTATTTGTAAATACTCATTTAATGTCTCTACTAACTATCTCAAATATCTATATCAACATAGATATTTCTCCCTATAATCTTTAATCTTCCTCTAACTGCTCCTCTTCTATCAACCACCCATATGAACCTTATATAGATGCATACTATCATTCATACCAACATTCGTACAATACAGTGACGCCATCTAGGCAAAGCTAACAACATAAACAAATATGGTTATAAAAATAAATTAATTTTTAATTCAGTCAGATTATAGTCTATCCTGTTTTTCCAATTATTTACATTTTTGTCAAAAAAGCATTTAATGTAGTTTACCCTAGTCATTTTTATTACACCATTTCAACATTCAAAAAAATCCCATTATTAATGCAACCTGTCTATAAATTTATCCTTATACTATGAATCGATCTTTCTAAGAAATTCAGATTCCTTGGACCCAAATCACGGGTACTAAACTGAACTGAATCACGGTCAATACACAGATCACAAGCTCTCCATATAGAACCAATCGGTTGAAAACAAAATTTGTTCTTGTTGGTTCTTTTAGAAGGTGTTGACAAGTGGGTAGAAGCCGTTTATAACATATTGTCCTGGTCTGGAACCCCTGTCAAAATTTGGATAATTTTCGACAACTTGGTGCACAATTTCAGAAATTGTGATCAAATACCTATTGACAAACCACTTATGTCGTTTTAGCTCTCCTTCAAAACTACAGTACTACAGCATGCAAACGTCAAAATACTTAAACGAATATTTCGATTATAAATCAAATAAAAAAACTGAAGTTTGAATAAAATAACTCTCATATATTCAATATTGAAATAGTTTATATTCCTCAGTATTGAAGCTACTGTTTTAATGTAATTCATTAATATTATCGACATTAAAGAATTTCTCCAGGCACAAGACTTTGAAGTTACTAATTCTTTAGCTTGTTATTGTGTTAAATCCGTGGGCCATTACTTCTTTAATCTTGTGCTCGTTAATATTTTTTCCGTCTCTTACATTGATCCTCGTAAATTTTTGACAATGCTTTTGTTATACTTTTTGCTCCATTTTTTAATAAAATCTTTTACGAACGTTATTCTGGATTCTCATGCTTAATGTCATAGACCACACACCATGGCGCACTTGCAATAGCTACTAGACTAAATTTGAAACACGTGTCTTCCGGATATATAAAGATAGAGAAAAGTCGCTCACAGAGAGAACATTTATTAGACAAGTAAAGCTACCATTATAAAGATAACCATATTACTAAACGTTGTAACAAATGAAAATTATCTTGAAATCGGATAACTTTAAAAAATGTTAAATGTAGAAAATATATATAGCGAGTACATTAACATATGTAACATTTTGCCTTATGGCAAGTAGTAAGAACTTTCCGAGATGTGCAGCAAACAGTCGAATTAATCTATAATAACTGATCATAGAAAATTTGGAGATTGAATATACCCTATTATCGATACATCGATGAGTTTTTATAACTAAACCAATTTTTTGCAGACCTATAGTAATATATTAGAATGTTTGTTGAAAATTTATCATATAACATTTCATGAAAATTAAAACATTTGTTTCAACAATTAACTGTTAAGTTTGTTTCAAGAACATTCTAGCCGATATTGACCAAGAACTAATCTGAACGTTTTCCAATTGATATTTTTTTAACTGTTGAATTTTCCAAATCGGTTCAGAGTTTTTGGCAAAAACGCCAACGAGGAATTTTTAACTTTTATGTTAATACTGAAGAAACGGCTCCACCTATAGTCTCGCTAGGCGAAGTCTTTATCTGATTTCATCAATTGGCTTTCACTTTTGGAAATCGAGATTCGTTTTAAAAAAAAAATATTTACGAATGGTCAAGTTTTACACACACCTACCTATTCCAATTATTAATTACAGTGTCGAACAACCCAGAATGACTTACTTTGTCGACAAAACACAAAATTAGAAATTTTAATTCTCATGCAGTGGCGGACATAGCTCAGAGGTAGCATGTCCGACTCACATGCCGAAGATCGTTGGTTCGATCCCTGGCGCTTCCAATTGTAAAAAAAAAAAAAAAAAAAAATATCAGAATGTATAGAATTTCAATTGTAAGATGTATGTTAAAAATGATTAGAATGTATAAGATATTAGAATGTATAAAAATTGAATTAGAATTGGAAATAAAAAAATGAAATAGTAGAAAGAAGTAAGAAGATAAAAATAAGGAAGAATGAAGTTAAGTTGAACTACGTAAAAGGAATAGGATTTATGTGAAGAAGATGAGTTGAAAGAAAGTATATAGTATAAGAAGAATAGAATATAGATTGAATATGATGTAAAATTAGTATAGAATGTAAATAAATGTTGTAGGTGGCTAAATGCTCAGAGTAAGCGAAGCCAAATAAAAAATAAATAAAAAAAAATTTTCATGCAAAAACCTTTTTTCAGGATAATAAACATAATCAAGTGTAGAAAAACCTCAAATATCATATCATGTTATTTTATGCAATGATTTCAAATTATTGGTTCCCAAATTTTTTGTAGCGAAAGGTATTTAAGTAATCATAAAAAAATTATTCACTACAGGATAAAGAGTGATAACAATTATTTTTTATGCATGTAAATACCGCATCATAGTTCATTATCAAATTTTTTAAATAAAATATATATCTTGCAATACTTGTGTTACATTATTTTCGCCAAAAATAATGTACAGTCATAACATGATGCAATTTGTAAAATTGCACAGTTTCTGCAGGAATATGTGCGATTTCGACATAAAAGTGTCATAATCTGTTATCATTAGGTAAACATCAGAAGATAACTAAACGTTCACCTTGCTCGTAGAAATTTATTAACAACGCATGCTCCCATAAATCGCGAACATGCGTAGGCATAGAGTTTAAAAAAGTACAAAGCCTGAACAAATATATTTCGTTCCAAAGAGAGTTTATTTAAAATTTACGCGCGCAAAGCTTAGCGGTGGTCTTACAGAGAGAAAAATTGCCATCTATAAAATGAATATAACCTGATTGTATTTCTTGCGTGTACTTTAATGCAAACGGAGATTTTATATTCAAATCCCCTCGGATCAAATATTCAATATATAATATGTTCGCAGAAATGGGCGTGTATGTGGCGGTGAGCTCGGTACTGCCAATATAGTGCTTGGGCCCTGTACGTGATATAATTCCCTTCAAATGCGCAAACATGTAAACATCGAAACCAACAGCATACCAATATTCTACCGCGCTCGAATGGTATGATACCGTTGCGGTCGGTTCGTTTCCTACACTAGTAGGGGCCTCCCGCCGTCCGGGACGCCGACTATCATTCTATGAAATAAAAAAAAAACAATTATAACACTAAATTTACCAACGCCGGTCAAGATAGAATATCATTATCAAACTATATGACAATTCTTAGAATATACTAATAATATTTTCATCCCTTTTTGATTTTAATTATTTTTTCTATTTTTCAAAAAAATATTGTTATATGGCCTAACTACCGCGGTCGGTCAATTTGACCGCTGAAAATGTTAATTGGGGATTTGTTCCCGTCTAAATTCAGGTGCAGATTTATACAAAATATACCAAATGAACCAGGCAATAAAACAAAGTTCTGGATGGTGTATGATGTGAAGTCAATAGTAAATATGTATTAAATGGTTTTCTCTATTCAGAAAATGACAAGAAGAGAGATTGTTGCATTCTTCAATGTATCAGTTTTAGAACAACATCAATTGTTCAATGTATCAGTTTTAGAACAACATCAATTGTTCAATTTATCAGTTTTAGAACAACTAACTATCCAAGATAGATTCATTCACAGATATTTAAGCATTTTGTATAAACCAATCTTCATTACTCTCACAGTAAACACAAAGATATTAGATTTTCTATTAGTACATTGTTTGGTGAAAATGTGGCAGGCCAAATGGCTTAGAAACGTAACATAAAATCTAAAATTTGTAGTTGGCAACTTAAGGTAAATTTCACCATTTTAACCCTAGCTGGATAAATGTATAAACTGTGTATAAAGAGAGGACTAGTAAAAGCATTTTTAGGCACGAATTTTTGTTTTAGTCATTTTTTAACTAGGCGATGCATATTCAAAACCTCAAGTTTTTATCAACACTGTCCATAAGTTCGGCTTTGTGCAGTCACAGAAATAGTCAAAGAATATAATTTTGTGAAAGCTATGAAACGAATATATTTGCGTCATATGTACATTTCAGACTAAAATAATTGATAAACAACGTGAGAAAGTCGAATAAAGATTATTGTGTATGCATATAACTGTATAAATATTTAGTTTTATTAGTTTTTTTTTCTTAAAATTCCTGTATTTTATGTACATTAAACAATATATCAATCATTATCTGCTCCATGCCAGTCTACAAGAGAAAAATTCTACGAGAAGCTTTAAAAAGAGAAAATCGATTTTCCGACTAGCACACACCAATTACTTATAATTAGTTCTGAGAACATATATAGTATTAATAATGAATTTCTTATTGAGAATAATTTAGAAATTTAATTTATAAATTTGATATTATATTGTATATAAATTAGAATTTAAAGTTTATTTTATATAGATTACTATTGAAAGTTTATTGTATATAAATCTCTTTGCAAATTAAGTGGTGGCAAAATGATTCATAACAGATAACAATAAATAAAAAAAATCATTATCTGAATTAAATAATAAAATAGATAACTTTCTAATTGTAGGTCAATTTGACCGCGCGGTTTATATAGATATACATGAATTGTTGGTAGGTTCAGTTAAATTTCTACAGTTGTCTTTATAGCACAGTCGTATACGTTTTCAACGTAACGAATTGAAAATATGTTGTCCTTACTTAATATTAGTAGTTTGTTTCCAATGCGTCTAAATTCATTCACGACACATAATAAATTGAAAGTAACATGTCTGCAAGATCCATTGAGTTGCGAGTCGTATCTCGCCATGTATATATCTCCGGTAATACTATAAGACGATTAATAGATTACGTTACACTTTAAGAAATTCCTTTGATAGTTTTTCAGTCAGAGATGTAGAAGTAAAAACAGAAAATTCGATACGGTGCTCGCAAAAAAGTAAAAACAGTGGAAAATATATGTCTCATCTGTTATAAAATTTACTAGTATTTGTATACTTTCGCGTATAGTAACAGCGCGTTTTCTTGTTCTCCTTTGATAAAATTTATAAAAAGAGAAAAAAATGTAAATCATACTTTCATCAACAACTCGTCAAATTAAAATAGCATTTCAATTATATTAATAGCAAACATTTTTTATAAAACATTTAAAAGCATTTTTATGAGTTTATTACAAGTTCAATTTAAATAATTCTTTTCATGAACTACGACTTACTTCACGATATACTTTCATAACACAGTTTTAATTAAGATGCTACTCCAGATGTCCGACAGTTTTTATCTCATCATATATTCTTTTCATCCACGTAAATGCTAACACACCGTGACTTAAACTTCATGGAAAAGCTGCATTAGCACACAATAAAACTAGAGTTTCTGCTCTATAATAAATTATCAAAAACATCTTTATTTCTTTAACTGAATAAGATGAATGGCAATTTTAAAAGAGTAGTTATATTTTGAATGCCTTTTTGAATAAATCAAAGTTTACTTAGTGCTCAAGCAGCACTATTACTATACTCTCAGTAATTCCATTATGAAATGATGGCTGAGAAAATAATCGCCAATTTTGTAACTAATCGAATAATAAATAATAGTCATTGATGTATTATTTATTAGTAAAGAATACCTATAAATAATATATTAACATAATAATATATTGGAAGATTATTACCAACTATTTGTTATTAAATGTGCATTAGCAAGCGTTCTTTGAAGAAAAAGTAGCTAAAAGTACGACTAAAGTCCATCGGTGTAATCTATTTTACTGTAATTAATCAATATTATTTTTATATTGTATGTTTTCTATATATATATATATATATATATATATATATATATATATATATATATTGTTTCAGAATTCTCCCAAATGTAAATTCAGGTTTCTTAGGATTTTACTGCCTTAAGCGAATTATTTAATTACTTGTATTTATTTTATTACTTTCTCTTCTAAATCGAGTTCGAGTAGATTTTTGTTACGTCCGGGGTCTTAATCTTGAATTATTTATATTCAATGCTTAATCCAAGAAAATCATCAATGTTCTTAAGTCTCCTAAAAGCATTGCCCAAATACAGCTTCGTATATCATTGTATGTATATATATATATATATATATATATATATATATATATATATATATATATATATATATGTATATTAGGGTGGTCCTTAATATGACAATTTTCGATTCCCAAGGGCTCAAATGGTTCCAAATGAATAAAAAAACAATTGTCTGGAAGTTTTAGCTTTTAATATTAACTTTTAGATAGTGTTCAATTCAATCAAACTTCGTATGGAAATAGCATGGAAAAAATTGTAAAAATTAAAAAAAAAAATGTGTATAACTTAGCGACAAATAAATTAAAAGTGAAAATGTGTCATTTTTTATTGAAAATTTGACGCTCTGCAAAACTTTTGAAAATTTTTTTATGCTATTTCCATACAAAACTTCATATTTAGATCAAAATAATGTTTCCAACTAAAAATGGCTTATTTTGAGAACTGCGGTGTAAAATGGCAATGGGAAACCTCTCATACTATGCTTCCCTGGACCAAGTTGGAGTTTAATCTAACTCGACAAATGCTCTAGTGAAGTACTATCAAATATTATTATACAATATTTATTTATAAAAGAGCATTAGATAATGTTTAAATTCGGCAAATAATACTGTATCACAATTTTTTTATGTGGATAAATATTTTCTCTCAAATATTGATTAATAGTAGTAATAATTTTAAGAATATTTGTACAAAATTCTGATTTACTAATTAATTGACTAAATTTGCTGGACTATGTTTCATAGTTATGTAAATATTTGTATCTATGATAATTCTGAAAATAGAATTTGTGAGTAGTTTTACTTCATAGCAACTAGGCAATATAATTGAACAACAGTTGCAAAGACAAATTATCAATTTTCATTTTAAAACGTATGGCTACCCATAAAACAATTGAAAATCGATGTCACTATCGCTTGACATCAGGCTGTCCGAAGCAGGCCCAATAACTTAAAATCTGATAGCTCTTCAGTGTAAGCCATGGGAAGAGCAATATCAATTATGTCAACAAATACCAACACTAATATATTTGCTACCGAAAGATATACACGAACCGATTGTGTCGTAAAATATACAAATGTTTTGACAAGGCTATGTTACGTAGCGTTTTCCATATAAAGTGGTACTAGAAACTGTTAAAATGCCATATGGTTGCTGTGCAATCAAGCGCTTTAGATAGAAAACATAACTTAGAAATGCACGAAAGTCAAAAGGCAATATTATACTAAGTGCATCTTTGTGATGTGGCATAATAGCATATGAGTGAAGTTAAATTTTATGTGTAATACGCCTGACCGCATATCAAATACATAGAATTTTGACAGTTTTTAGTACTGTTCAATAGTAGTTATATGATAAACGCTACATAACATAGCCTTGCCATAACATTGGTCTATTTTACGGCAGAATCGTAATTTCGTTTTTGTGATTATATGTGTTAAAAAAATATTTTTTACTCGAATAAATATGAAGTATTTTTGAAATATATGTGTATATAATAATATATATCAAATGCAAGTCCATCATGAGTAGCTATCTCTCTTCATCCAGTGTCATCCCTTGTGCATTATTTACAAAACATTTGTTATTGCGTAAAATCGATTCCGCTGTTATTTATACTAATATATTTGTTTGATCTATTTCAGGTGTTTTATGCGGGTATCATGAAAAAAGGTTATTGCACAACCTGTTAGATCACTACAATGTGCTCGAAAGGCCAGTGGTCAACGAATCAGATCCGCTTCAATTGAGTTTCGGATTAACGCTCATGCAGATCATCGACGTGGTGAGTCCAATTATTGACATAGTAGTAGCATTTGTGCAGATATACCATTAAATGTTACCAAGAAAAATGTTAGTGTTCGAGATTAACACTATTGGGGCATGATTATCTTACTGAGAGCCATCCATAGTTTAGAACACTAATTATTTTGGCACATTATGATTTTGTATTTTGTATTATAATGTGCTCACCTGCTCCTCTTTATTGGAAATTCGTTACTAAGAATCGTTTCAATAATAATGCTATTATAATTTATAGAGAAAATAAAATAAAATTACGTAATTTGGCTGGCAAAGTCGATAAATAAAAAGTCTCTGATGTAAGGCAGTGATAACTGATAAAATTTTATATACTCGTATATCCCTCTTATCTATAGTATAGGCAATTAGAGTTTGCAAATCTCGAATATTATCTCGAAATTATATAGTTTATTACATTCCATCAATAAAGGTTTTACTGATGCACTATTGTATGCAACTACCACGAAAGATAATTTCCTCGAGTCAAAAAATGTTTATTTAAATATGCATAAATATGAAATTATGCATGTATATATATATATATATATATATATATATATATATATATATCGCGTACATTCCAATCTTATCTTTAAACAAACTTAAATTAAAACTTATAGTGCATGTAATTGTATTAATTCAATTAAGAAAATTAAACACATTACATTCTAATTTTCGCTCCATTCATTCTATTCCATTCTAATTAGACCAGACACATAATATACCTAATCTACTGAAAATCACAAATATGTATAAATTTTTATGCACAACAACTATTTTTGTTGAATTGATATGCAAAAATTATTTGTTTTCAAAATTGTACGATTGGAATATTTTGTACGATTTTATAATTTTGGATTATTTAAATACTCAAAAATCTGTAGATACTATTCAACAGTTCTGAAAAATTAAAATACCAGCAATTCGAAACTTGCTTGTAAAGATAAAAAATTGGAAGATTTCATTCAGGTTGTTATTTGATAAAAATGTCAGTGTTCAAATCAACTAATAGTTTATAAGGCGCTCTCAAAAATCACTCGTGACATAAGCCGCCATTTTACTTTCTTTAACAAGTACGCTCCAATTAACTTGACAGTCATGTGTAACAGTATTACTTTTAATAAATCATTTAATATTATAAAAAGTCCATATATATATATATATATATATATATATATATATATATATATATACATAAGCGTACAATCAAAATATAAAAATTCTAACCTTTGTCATCACTGTATCGTCTATAATCGAGAATATTATTTGCAGCACAGAACACAAAACACTATATACACTACATAATTTAGCTAGATCATCCGACGCACTTGAAAAAAACTAGCTCATAAACCGATATTTGTGTAATTTTTCTTTTTTACAAACAGACGAAATAACTCAAACTCAAAATCAAAACTAATATAACGCTCGGGGACACAGACCACTCCATACTGACATAAATAATTGGTAAATTCTTCAAAACAACCACAAAAATGACGCCATCTACAGGTGCTATTTGTAACCGTTTTTTAAACAAGATTCGAATATGCTTAAATTTGTGGTCGGCCATAGCACAAATGCCAACCACTTGTTCAGGGCCACTATGGCCACCTATCCCTCCACTATCAATAGCAGGCCACTGTCAATTAATAGTGATATCGGATTTTCACATAAGATTATAAATTTTAATGGGATTTTTAAGAAAAATATTCTTCTGAGCCAATAATAAATAAATATACACTATTAGAAATAATAATCTTAGCAGAAAAAGCTAACCACTGAGCTGCATTTTAGCAACTGCATATTAAGGATATTTCTGATGATTTATAGAATACATGGTTTTGGTTGCTGATTAAATATATGAAAAATAAAAGTACCATCGGCACGCAACATATGAATAACTTTAGTAGGAACTTAGATATTGTGAAAGGAATTAATGTGAGTTTTATTATCGGTTCTTTTAACTTTAAAGTATGTTTATATACATATACCAAAATATATACAGTCAACCCTCCGTTAACACGGCATTCTGGGTACACGGTTCCCATACTACGCGGAGCTAGAAATCAGACATTCCTCCGACTACACGGACTTCCTATTACACGGTTATTGTTCAACAGCCCATAAGTTCCTTGCGCAACCTATGAGTGATTCTAGTAACGTGCTATCAAAAGGGTATTAATGTAAGTTTTGTTATCGACTTTTATCTTTCAGGCATGCCTGATTATATAATAGCTGCCTAAGAACACGTTTGAGCTGACTAATGCGTAGCGCCAATTTTTGAATAAGGTGTCGATGTCATACATGTCATTTCGTCCGTATTACTCCTACTTCAAGTTGTATTTCTTGGTCTCCATACAGCACGATAAAAATGGTGCGATTTGTACCAACTCTGAGTCTCTCATAGCACGGTTTCCATACTGCACTAAGGTTCCATAGAACACACTACGAATTAGCCTCAATTGTATGTTAAATACGAGTTTTTTATAGCACGGTGCCCATACTGCACGGTATGCATTTGCCGCGTAAAGCTAAGATTTACTGTACATAGTTTTGATGGCTGATCAAATATATGAAAAACAAAAGTACCTTCTGCACGCAACCTATGAATAACATTAGTAGGTACTTAGATATTGTGAAAGAACAGAACGTTAGCCTTCCCAAAAAAGATACTACTTTGCATATTTTTTTATTAGAATTCAGATTTTAGTTAAGTTTTCCGTTGATTAATTTTATCACGACCTTATATTACTCTTCAATTCAATAAAAACAATTTATAATTCATCCTGTCTCGTTGGTTTTCATATAGCGCGACACAAATGCTGCGATTTGTATTAATTCTGTCTGAGTTTCTCATAGCACGGTTTTCATAGAACGTACTACAAATTAGCCTGGATTCTATGTTAAATCCGAGTTTCTCATAGCACGGTTTCCATATTGCACGGCACGCATCCACCGCGTTATCGGAGGATTGACAGTATATGAAAAATCAAGTTCAAAATAAATGAAATAGCAATGTGTCAAGCATTAATCAATCAAAAAATTGTCAAAAAAACTAATACCACATGTTCCTTTATCGCTTTCGCGCCGCTGAATTTTCCGTGCAGTTTACAATATTTGAATTTATCAAAAGCAACAGCATACATATTGGCTGATTTTATATTACGTATGCGTCTACCAGGAACGTAGGCCACAACATCAATATTCGAACCAGCCAGCCGATTGTTCGTGTAACTGATTCTTTGTTCTGAGCGCGAACAACCGGTAACAAATGTCAGCCACGTGATTTGCTGTGCCATACGCTGCACACAAAACCAGTAAATTCAGCTCAGCGGCGCACATAAGCCGCGCCGTTGCCATAATAGTCTTAATGTTATGATCGGAATATCTAATGCAGAAGGTCGGCAACTGCAGAATGGAATTATTCTCGTATTTATATTAAGGTGTTTCGCCTTTTTGGTTCTTTTTATTGCTCATGTGTCAAACTATGAAATATTATACCTATAAATCATTATCCATTAGAATTTCATTGACAACTAGCTATGAATATCAAGTAAACGCTAGGAAAGTTTTGTGTCTTAATGCTTTTTGACACTGCTTCAATGATTTGTATAATTTGGCAAACATAGATATATTTTACCCGTAAAATAATAATATTGCTCTATAAAATCTTTCTTATATTGCTTAATGAGATAAATCACTAACTTTATATCTCCAGCAACTCTGAACACGTCATTATATATTTACATTCTCAATTTTCCATCTTTTATACTAAATGCAAGCATGCACTTCGATTTCGTTAGCAAATAATTGCATGAAAACCATCAAATGAAACAATAAATTACTACTAATTGATTAATTTGTTCATGTGATGTATAACTTACTTCTTCTAATTTCAAATACCAACTATTAACTATATTTTTAACTTTCCGTAGGGTAAGTTATAGTAATCGCAAAAAAATCGAAAATAAAATTTTTTATATATCTTTACGTTTTGATTACATTCGATTTGTATTGATAAAGAGGCGTGCTGATTAGTTTTTGGTGAAGGCAAGTCTAGCCGTTCCGAAGATATGGAGCAAAAAGTTCCAAAAACGGTAACTCTGTTTTTAAGAGAACGGAGCGTCCGACTTGAATAATTCAAAAAACATTTCACTTGTATTGACAAGATGAAAAATTGATCAAATTTTCATAAAGGCAGGTCTAGCGGTTTCGGAGGTCTAACAAAAAAAGTAAAAAAAATGCCATTTGGCGGTCAAAAATGATCATTAGATATATGCACATCAAATTATCGGATATTATATAGAGATTTTAATAATAAGTATAAATTTTGTTTACATTCCTATGGGTTCCGTAACAATGTTTACGCGTTAGACGGCGACGCGGCGCTTACGCGCTTCGATATTTCGTCTTTATGCAGTTAAAGCAGTACAATTGATTTGAAAAAAAGTTCATAATTTCCAAAATATTTCAAAATAAATGATTTGAGATAAAATGATTTAATATGGTTCGTTTTATTAAAAGTTTCAAATAATTGATCAACTTTTATTGATTATTATTGATTTTTAATTACTCGAATTTTGAATTGCGGTACGGGAAGTTCCAGCAATTTGCCTTAAGGCACGATGCCTTAATTAATTGTCTTAAGACAGAATTCCACTTACAGCTAGTTTTCATTTTCAACACAAAAAGTAAAATCAAAAATTACAAAAAGTAACAACACTTGCACGTAACGAAGAAAAGAAACTGAAGGAGTATAAATCACTTAATTTTGATTAAAATTAAATTTATTTTGATTTTTATATAAAGATAAAAATGCTCATTTAACTTCGAAATTAATTGGAAATAATCTTAATTGTAACATACTTATCAAACGTCAGCAGTTATATTCATTTAAATTAGTACATTTTTTATGAACTTCATCAAAACTAAAAACTCAATAAAGATTTTATTTTGATATTGAGAGAGGAGAAAATCTAATGACAATACAAAACTATATTTTAATTTAAAAAAAGTCATTTTTACGTTTCAGGTTATAGAGCTATATCGTTTATTTTTTGAAATAAATAAGTCTGAAGCAAAATTTCACTAACTACGATATAGTAGTAAAACGCAAAAGACAATTCCTGTACCTTTTATATGGCATTTTACTACCAAATTCACCTGCGTTAACTATGAATGCGAACATTAATATTTGTACATCAAATACAAACGGTAAAACATGTTGCACAAGAATGCAAATTATTTTCAGAAAAGCACGTGTAAAAATAAAATACAATTACATACATTTGTAGAACGTTATCGTTACGAATTAATTAAACAGTTCTAGATAAATTTTAATGTTTTATTACATTCACGTGTATTATTATGAAGTTCGCGTTAAATTATTCAGTTTCAAGGCTGCGTTCCATAAATCCAAAGGCGCGCTAATCCTGTATTGTGATACTGCTCTGTTAGTGAACGTAAAGGAATTAAGCTGGATTAATTGGGTTATAAACCATTGTGCATAATGCAATATTTGGCCTATCACACAGCTTATGATAAATTATAATAATTGCACTGTTTCTCAAGCGAAAATGAGCTACGCGCTTAGGTTGCTCTGATGAATATTCTACGTCAATGGGATCTATGAATTAATCCGGAAAGGAAACCCTTCCGCTGAGGGTTACGCGGAAGCACTGTAAATTCACCGATATTTTCAATTACCATTAATCTACAATGAAAAGTACATGGAAAATGGTAAATTTTCGGTTACACAATGTTAACTAGTGGTGTATGGCATCGTGCTTTAAGGCAAATTGCTGGAACTCCCCGCACCAAAAATTAAATTTTTGAAAAAAGATTAATTATGATTTAAACTTTAAAAAAAAATTAGGGATTAAATTTTTGAGAAATTTTAAGTGTGTTAAAAAAAATTACTTTTTTGGGAAAAAAACTTTTAGAGAAAAATGTTTTATTTTAGTTTTATATGATTTGAACTTTTCTGTTAAAGCAATCGCACTACTTTATCTGCATAGAGACGCAATATCGAAGCGCGTAAGCGCCGCGTCGCCGTCTTGCGGATAAACGATGTTACAAAACCCATAGAAATGTATACAAATTTGATACACATTATAAAAATCTCCATAAATTATTTGATCATTTAATATACATATGTCTATTGATCATTTTTGACCTCGAAATGGCATTTTTTAAATTTTTTTTTACTAGATCGACGAAACCGCTAGACCTACCTTCCCAAAAATTTAATCAGTTCTTCGTCTTGTCAATGGAAGTAATATGCTTTTTGAATTATTAAAATCGGACGCTCCGTTCTTTTAAAAACTGAATTACCGTTTTTGGTACCTATTTCCCCGTTTCTTCGAAACTGCTAGACCTGCCTATGCCAAAAACTAATTAGCACGTTTCCTTATTAATAGGAATCGAATGT